GCTGGCCGCGGAGGTGGCGGGAGGGAAGGGAGAGAGACGCGTGTCACCGCCGCCGGCCCTAGCGTTCGCCGCGCGCCGGAGGGGACCGCGGTGGCGACGGCGAGGCCGGGGCGCGCCGCGGCCAAGCGGGCTTCCGGGAACGACGTGGGGGAAGGTCCGCTTCCTCCGGCTGGGAAGATGCGTGTCCCGCGCGGAAACCGGCGAGCGGCAAGGCCAGGAAGGGCGGAGAGACCCCGGGTCGCCGGGGTCAAGTTTTGGGGCAGAAGGAGCTGCCCTCGACTCCGGGTCGACCTGCTTAGGCAGCCTCCTGGCAGACTCGGCTTCCCTCTCCCAGCCACAGCCTCTCCTCAAGCAAAGGATACCTCTTCCCACTCCTGCTAGGCCGCCTGGCGATCTCACTATCCCCTCTCGCGTTTCAGCTTCCCTTGCTCCAGAAGTTGTGCCCCTCTAAGGCCCCGATCGAATGGAAGTCCATGGACACATTTCAAAGTCTTGCTATTATTAGTTTTCTTTCTAGAAACCTTTCATGTTTTCCCCCAATAACACAAGCAAAAGAGTAAACTAAACATACTAAAAAGGTGGCTGCAGTATTTGCACAGAGGGACATGAAGGGACGGGTCTTTTACCCTAAATTTTAATTAACAAGCTTTCTGCATCAGAGTGGTGACGCCAGAAATAATAATTTTATTATTATTGACAATTGTTAGTATCACTGTTGACTCAGCGTCTGGTAGCATTTTAAGAGGACAGCTTTTAGATAAAATTTGTGACCTTTGTAGGGAGGGAAAGAGACATTTAATTCAATATATTAATCACCTCCTCTGTGGAAGGCATCTGCACCATATTAGATCATTTAAAATGATCTGGAAATGCATTCTAAGTGGTGAACCATCTTCCTTATTTCTCAGCTTGGTGCACATCAAAAACAGCGTAGTGAACTAAATTTATTCACTGGTTTCCCACCTTTGTCTTGTTGATAATAATAAAGGGACATTGGCATTTCAGAATTGGAGGGAGATTTAATTGACTTGTCCAAGCAATCATTGTCCAAGGCTAGAGGAAAGCAGTGCTTGGTGGGGAAGGTGGAAAAATAAAAAGAGGATGTGGTTTGGGAAAACTCTTAGAGATGTTTTGGGTGTACCTAAATTTTTGTTTCTTTGTTACTTTACTTGCTTATTGAGACACCTCTTCAAGATTTCCCAAGTAATTGGCACCTAGCAAAAGTCATAGGTTAGTTTTAGGAGACATTCTCCAGCAGATTTTGCTCGCTGAGGGTTGGGAGAGGGATGGTGGGTCTAGAACTTTTTCCTCCGGGCAGATTTTTAGAAGTTGTTACAGTGCCCTGTGAGATGTTGGCTGTGAAGATCCTTCACCCTCTGGTTTGGGAGGGTGTTGGAAACCAATTTTCCACAGCACATTTACATACATTTTCATGTTGGAGTCTTATAGCCTTCTCTGGGGATAGTTAGGAGGGCAAGTGTTATTCTAATTTTAGAGACCAGTAAATAGAGTGACCTCAAAGAGGTTAAGAGACTTGCCCAAGGTCATATTGCTGGGAAGTGGTGGAGCCAAAGCACAAACCTAGGCCTTTCCATTCCAAGGCCAGATGACTACTCTGCTCTGCCTTCTTAAGTGTCGTAGTATCCCCATGTCCTTTTCTTCCTTGGTTTTCCTTATCCTTCCCAAATGCTCCTCCGCATCCCTTCCCTGGCTCCTAGAATTATGCCTGCTGCATCCTTGGGCCCCTGTAGGGAAGAGCGCCCTTCACCTATCCTTCCCAGCAGGGCCCCGTACTCACCTCTCCAGGGCCCAGAGCTCCTTGGGGCTTTGCTGCTAGTGCAGCTAGGGGAGTAACTGCTAGGCTGGCTCAGGGCCCTGCTGAAGTGTTCGTCCACCACGGAGCTGATGTCTCCCTGGAAATAGGTGAAGAGGACGCAGCGCGAGTTGATGTACTCGGCCTCTGGGGGGCGCTCTTTCTCTGGGCTGCCTTCCTCCTCTTTGATGCTGGCTGGGGTCTGGCTGGAAAATGAGGAGCTGCCGCTGCCGCTGCTGCTGGGGCTGGCATTGCAGTCCTGGGCTTCCTGCATTTTGGAGTAATAGGCTAGTTTCTGCTCAGAGAGAAAGAATAGGGATGTCAATTTCAAAAGCAATGGCAAATTGGGTTCAGACTGAACTCCTTCATCTTGGTCCCGAATGTACCCATGGGGCAATGGGCATCTGTGTCTAAGTTTTGTGATCTAGGCATCACATCGACAATGGGGAGGGAAGGTGACGTAGTCGTTAGGTCTCCCAGCCTGGACCCGACCAGAGCAGGCTTCCTTGAAGGAAGATCACTGTCCTTGGTTCCTCTATCTTCTAGGAGTTGCTACTGGGCCACAGGGAAATTTCTCCTATAATGTCTGGGTGAACATCTTGGAAGACATCTAGGTGGCCAGGTTATGAACTGAGTTTGATCTCATAGCTGGTCCTGGGGTAGATATATTTTTAAAATCAAACTCTGAGAACAAAGGGCACCCACGTCCAGTCAGGGCCTGTTTTTCCCTGTCTGAGAATTCAGGGCAGAAGCACAAGGTACAGGATTTATCATTTTCACGATGGAACAAGAGGACCCCCCCCAATCCACTCCCTGCGACCAGAAATGTAAAAGAAGAAATAAACAGAAAGTTTGAAGTAATTCCATTTAGTAATGAATTATGTAGGGTAAAAATTTGGAACAGCATTATGACTAGGGAACTATGGATCATTTTAACAAATGGAAGATGATATTTATTTGGTCACCCAAAAAGTGTCCATTTAAAAGTCTGTCTCAGTTTCTAAACAGATCTTTGTTTAAATAAGGGAAAGCCAGTGGATTACGAGTATTTTCACCCTCATCATCTCCACACACATCGAGGAAATAATAAAAAGGAGCAGGAGGAAGATTAAGATCCTGCTGTGAGGTGGGTAGATCGCCATGTCTGACAGTGATTTTAAGAACATGTTCTTAGAAATGAGCAATGGCCTGAATTCAGTCTTAAAGCATCCTGTAGGCAGAGACGGCCTTTAAGGAAGCCCTAGTCATGCAAAAATGAACAGAGATCTTAATGCAATAGATCGGTTCAGGGTCCAGGAGGAGAAAGGACCAGACAGAAAACCAACCCATGTCTCTGCCTTTTGCAATAGTCTCAACCTGTGAAGGAGGCTGGAGCCATAAGATTTGAGTTATTTAGCAATAATATCGCTTCTCAAATGCCAGGTTCCTACCTAGTCTATGATGAGGGACTCTTGATTCCTAAAATTGAAATTAAACAAACTCCACGTTGAAAAGTTTAAAAGAGGGGAAGAAGAGAAAAGAAAACAAAAAGTGAACCCTACCCGTTCCATCATTAATTCACCAGGAAATTTCTGAATAGATGTTCTAAATTTGCAAACAAAATTAGTGAAAGCATGGACTACGGTGTGGGGGTGTATTTTAATGTCCCCAAAGCAGAAGCCCAGGTCCACACTTTCCAACCTGGCTGGCATCCCTTCGGCCCCAGGTGTGTGAGTTCATTTTTTTCCTGGACCACTGTCCTCAGTTTCCACTACGTCAGTCGAGAAAATGGAAGGAAAAACTGCCCAAATAGACGCAGCCCGAAGAAAAGAGAAATGGGCCGAATTAAACGTAATTAGAAGAGTTTGCAGAACCGAGGTTAAGTGGCCTTAAAAAGTGAATCTGTTGAAGGCAGATCTGCTTGATCAGCTACTCAGGCTCCAGAAAAGCGAAGCGTTGTCTACGAAGCGCTCCTCTCCGGGGCAATCACACTCTAGCATTTCTCCTAGAGTTTTGAAAGTAAAGAAGGCAAACCCCACGCATTCTGCGCGGTGCTCTCTGAAACGAATTCTCTGGCTCTTGAATTAATCGGCCTGATTGCCCAAGAGTGGAAACGGAAAAAAATCATTCCTGAGTAAGCTTGCAGAGACAAGAGTGCGCGGGCCTTTGCATCTCCGACGGAAGGCAGAGACTGGCCTTGGCTTTTCGTGTTGTTGTCACGTTCGCCTTTGGGACCGAGAGCTTGTTCCCTGCGTGAGCTTGGCCCGCAGTTCCCCGCACCGGCACCGGCTGGGAAGAATCTGGAGTCTGACAGACTCTTAGAAGGAAATCCAGCCAGCGCCATCCTTGTCCGATTGGGGAAAACCCGGGCGCACATTCGCGGGGCTTAGCGGCCTTCCCGAGAGCGCCAACGGGCAAGCTAGCCGCACAGCGGACCGCGGCGCAGCGCAAGCAGCCAGTCCCGCATCCGGACGGCGCCCGCGGTTGATCCGAAGCCCGGGACCCACCGAGGCGCCGCGGCAGCGGGAGCACTGCCCGTCCCCCTGGCCCGGAGGAGACACGTACCTGGTGATAGGGGGTGTAGGCGGCCGAGAAGTAGGGCTGTGGAGGACCGTAGACTTGGTACATAACATCCAGACAGCTCATGGCTCTTTGCCCCGGAGACGGCCGAGAGTTTTCTCATCAACGCGCGTCCGGCGGAGCTCGGGGGTGCTGCACCGGCGGCGCTGGGACCTGGGCACCCGAGTCATCGGTTGTGGAGCCCGGGGCAGCGCGCTCCGCGGCTCGGGATCCTGCCGGCTCGCCGCCCTCCCGCCCCGGTGATCCCAGCCCCGACCGCGCTCCGGGACAGAGGCGCCTGAGCTCCCGCTAGTGGGCATTTAAACCCCACGCCCAGCGGGCGTGCTGACGCCACTCGCGGGCCGCGGAGGGGGTGGGGGGCGGGACCCGGGGGAGGGAGGCGTTGGGGACGCCGGTTGTAGGTGCCGCTGGCGTGTTTCCCGGGGCTCTCCCGCAGCACCCTGTGGCCAAGGGACTGAGCGAGACTGAGCGGTCCCAGCGCGAGGCCGGCGAGTCGGGACCTCTCGAGTTAAGACAGGGGAGGCGGACTGACTGGAGACCGTGCGGTCCCAGCGCTTCGAGTCGGGACTTCCCGGGCTAGGGCAGGACGGAGGGACTGGCTGGGGCTCTTACACGCTGAGAGGGAAGTGGTGAACGTCTCCCGGGAGAGTCCTGGTCTCGCCCCGGAGAGTTGAATGTGAGCGTTTAGTTGTGACGAGGTGGAGGCAGCCTCAGCTCTTGGCTCCTGGCGATGTGTGGGCAGGGATGGTGCAGTCCCTTGGAATCCCCCCGTGGGCAGTAAAATCCCACGGGCTGCGAATCCCGGTCGTCGATGACGGGATGTCGAGGCGTCCGGGGACTCCTCCCTCAGCTGGGAAAACCATGGCTGGATCCTGTAGGCGCTGTCCCCGCTCCACCTCCGCTCGCCCCCTCCAGCCACCCTCCGGCACCAGCCCTCACCCCAGCCTCCCCCCCACCCCCTGCCCTTCTAAAGTGCGACCTCGTCCTTTCCCCCCACGTCCTCCATCCAAGCCCGCTCCTCCTCTCGCCCATCTCTGGCTGCTCTGTCGAGAGCTACTTTCCTGGAGGCCTGGCTTGGCTTCCGACTCTCCACGCCGGGGTCTCCTCGGCTGGCGTCCTTTAAAGTTTGGGGGACTTTGGGGGGACAAAGACTCGTTGACTGTAAAAGGAGGCTTCCTAGGGACTGCAGACGGCCAGAGGGGCTTTGCTGCCGCTTCAGCGGGGAGTAACACCAACCGCGGTTCATGTTTTAGAGCTGAAAGAGTGTGTGCCACTCGTGAGACGCTCGCCGCCCTTCTCGCTCCTACCCCGAGAGCTGCTGGCTCCGACCTCCTTCCTGCGACCCCTCCATCCGTACTAAGCCAATCCCCAAGCCCCCCCCCGGCGGGGGGTGAGATGTAACAGACCGCGTTTAGGAATCAATTGTCACAGGGCTGTCTCTAATCTGGGTCAAGCGGCGGAAGGGGCTTTGCGGGAATACTGATGGGACAGACTTGGGAGCTGGGGCCGGAGGGTGGGGGCACTGAGAGCCCAGACCCATGAGAGAGGCAGTGTTTATTCTGACGCGAGCGGACCCTAGATTAAATCCAATCGAAAGCCTCACATCGATTTTCAGGTTATAAAACGAAGAATAAATGCACCCCTGAACGTGTATTTGGATTGAAATCGTGACTATTTTAAGACAAAATGTTTCGAGGTTGAATTTTTGGTTTTGTCAGATTTCTAGATGGGCAATATCTCCAACTCGAGTTAAAAATGGAGAGCTGTCTTTAGCGATGGAAGAGGTTCCTTAACCAACTATGATGTAGTTTATTTTAATGAAAATTAAAAATAAAACCACTCTCCTAGCGCAACTCCTCAGGGGTCGCGCGGCCTCTGACTGAGCTCTGCAGGCGTCGGGACGTCGGAGGATCCAGGCTCTTGGATGCAGCAGCACAGCCTTCCCGCCTGCACCCAGACGAGCCCGCTCCAGGCGATTCGGAAGAGGCGCCCGGCCGCTGGTCTGCACTTTCTTTGGGGCAAAAGAACGAACTGCCGCCGGAAGAGCCGCCATGCGCCCCTCTGAATGCGGGAGGTGTCAGTGCAGGCCCCAGAATTGCCCTCCGCCGCGGCGCATCCTTGCTGCGGGGCCGCTCTGCCTAGACCCGTGGGGGGCTCTGGGTTGGCCCCGCCGGCGTGTCCAAACTTAGTTCTGAGAACGCCGCTGGAGCCCAGGTGCCCATGCAAGCTTCGCGTCCAGGACACAGTCCCGCGGGCCTGGGCGGCTCCGGCGGGTTCCACTCCAGCCCTTTCGCGCAGATCCCGCAATCTATTCTTGGACGATGAGGTGCCACTTTGGCTTTTTCAGCTTAGGGCACCTCTGGGAGGGTGGGAAGGGGACTCATCCGTCGCGAAGCGCCCTCCTTCCCGCGCAGTCTGGACTCCGCAGCGGGGACTGTGGCGGGGGGCGCTGGAGAACACGTGCGGCCGGTGCACCTGTCGGCTCATCTCGCAGTGAGCTCCCCAACCCCTGTGCACGCTGACATTTTTGTTTTACTATGTCCATTGGACTAAAGACCTTTGATTTTTCTGAAAACTCTGGATAACATCAACACAACCTGAGTCCAATAAGTTCCAGCAAAAAGTCATTTTCGATGGCAGGAGCAGCGATTTTGCCTATTCTGAGCGAAGAAAAATGGAGCTATTTTAGTTGCCTACGGCTGCTTTCTGTTCGCATTTCTCAATCTCCTCTTAGTTGAAGCGGTTACAAAATCTCATTGAAGCAAAGTGAGGGTGTGGACTGCACAAGAGTTTAAAGAAAAACAAGGAATCGGGTCGGTGAGCATTTATACTGAATTTAGGCAGGAAAACATCCCTCTTCCCTCAATGCAAAGTGAAGGATTAAAAAGATTAGAGCGTGTTTATTCTTTTCTCTATACCTGAAACGCTGTCATTTATGCGACTGGTACTTTTCCACCTGGTGAGACCGCCTTTTGTTTCTATGCTGAAGAAGAAAGTAAAACACAACCAAGTTTAAACTTCTCGCTCTCCTAGCTATTCAAACCGCCAACCTTGGGAATGGCTACGGGTTGAAGGAGAACAATGAGCAAAATTCTCTCTCCCCTTTCCTCTCTCCTCCTCTCCCCAAGAAGAGACTGAAACCCAAACAGTTATTTGTCCCTACATTTGGATCCCATGGACATATGTGGATCCATGCCAATTGCATTAAATTGCCTTTTAACTGCCTAATTGGGCAGAGGGAATGGCAACACTTCTTTTAGAAATGAGTTTCACTTTATGAAAGTTTCATGGCAATTTATTGAGCTGCCAGGAGAAAGCCGTATGAAAATAAAGTTAATTGAGCTGCCAGGAGAGAGCCGTATGAAAATAAAATTAATTTCACCAAAATCTCCTTTTTAATTTCTAGCCTGCAATTCTAATATATAAAATGTGAAACGAAAAGTCCTTCTATTCTTAAAGGTTAGTATGTAAAATTAAATGACTTTTGAATGAATACATGTTTCAAGATACCATCGTAATGAAATGTGCCTTTCATTTTTATAAGCTAGCTGACTTCATCAACTCTGAAGTATTCTGTCACTTGCATCATCCTATTCTGAAAACTGCAAAGATACAGCTTTAAAGGAAGAACATAGGAAAAAAATTGACCTGGAGATCTGACTTCAGCCAGCCAGGCCCTTCTTTGCTCATGGTTTATTTGGATTATGAGAGTCGGCATTTTGTCTTATTTTGCCAACCGTAGGTAAGAAACAGTGGTAATCTCATAGATTCCTCTCCCAAAACCAATTTTACATGTTGGACTGAGGAGAGTTGTGCTTGGGTTTAGGAGAGAAGCTGGCATGATTTTGTAGATTCAAACTGTTAATTATATTAGTTGAAAACATTTTTGCAAAAGTCAAGCTTTTCAGGTATGGTCTGTTACTTAGGAATGACACTCTGGCATGATTTGACATTAAGATCTAGAGAGGCTAATCTTGCCTCACCTAATACATTTTTCTAGGTCTAAGTGATCTGTGACATTTTTCTAGCTTTATTGAAGTATGATTTAAAAATAAAAATTTTATATATTCAAGGTATACAATAGGATGACTTGATATACGTATTTATTGTCAAATGCACACTTTTCTTAAAATATACAGTCACAAACTAAAGTCATTTGCCACATTATATTTTCTTCAACCATGAACCACATATAAAATGATGAATCATATTTTTACTCTACCTTTTCCTGGATTTAAATATGTTTAGACATACAAATATCATTGTGTTACAATTACCTAGAGCATTCAGTGCAATCACACAGTGTAGGCTTGTAGTCTAGGAACTATAAGCTGTATCATATAGTCCTAGTGTGTAGTAGGCTATGCCATCTAGGTTTGTGTCATACACTCTGTGATGCACCCACAAGGACAAAATTTCCTGCTGATGCATTTCTTAGAATGTATCTCTGTTGTTGTTAAGAAATGCGTGACTATAAATGCTATAAATGCCATCACTATTTTGAAATAAAATCTTTACCATGGCAAAAATAAATAAAAAATGATACTCTGGTAATAGAGTCCTGTAATCCCGCGCCTTTGGGAGGCTGAGGTGAGTGGATTGCCTGAGCCCACGGGTTTGAGACCCGCCTGGGCAGCGAGACCTCATCTCTACAATAAATAAAAAAA